AGTTTTTGTTCAACCCCGTAACGGCATACCAATGTTCCCTTTTTTAAAATATTGGTTCAGTCCAACTTCAACCACACACAGGAAGTGACATCCCTCAACTCTTTTCCCTCTCAAACTGTGAAGAGAGGTAAGTGTAAAGCTTACTTTCTCACCTAAATTTCATCGTTTTTATCAATAAATTTGCATCGTCAACCTCAACCTTTCAACACTGTTACATGTATAAATGATATTTAATATTGTTTGGGAAAAATAAAACAATTATCTTTGAAAAATACTTGAATTTCTTGTTTTCCACATGCCATAAGCTACACCATACTGCTAGCTAATGTGGACTTATAACCACTTTTGGCTTTAATCTTCAACCCTGTAACATTCAACCCCATAACAAAAAACACTGTTACGGGGTTGAATTATTGTTACGGGGTTGAAGCTTTTTCTGTTGTTAAGCAAGTTAGTCCCTTTTCTCTAAATGTTATTTCATACATTATTTTCAGATATCTGATGGCTAAATCAAATGCAGAGAGGCAAAGAGAATACAGGGTGAGAAGAAATGCAGATTCACAAAGAAGAGAAGAATACCTCAGGAAAGAGCGTGAGCGATGGAAAAAAGATAGAGAAGCAAAGAAATCAATCAGTGACCTGAGTACGAGAGCTTGAAGACGTAAGCAGAGGGAGTGGTGGAAAGCTAAGGAGCGACAGAAAAGGAAGGCTGAGATTGAAAATGTTGGGTCTGCCTTTCTAACCCCTCCACATACTCATGAATGTGATATTCAAGACAAAGTCCAAGCCAGACCAGGGTCCTCACGGTGAGGGAAATATAGTTTGAAGTATATTTGACTTTAATGATGATAGTTTTAGAAACACTACTTTTTACTCTGCTTTATACATGACTAATATGTTTGTTGTAGTAGTTCCTAAGAAATGAATATTTGTAACATGGAAGCTATGGTTTATTGCTTGTAGAACACACGCACACCCCCACACACACATATATATATATGTATATATACACACTCACCGGCCACTTTATTAGGTACACCTGTCCAACTGCTCGTTAACACTTAATTTCTAAGCAGCCAATCACATGGCGGCAACTCAGTGCATTTAGGCATGTAGACATGGTCAAGACAATCTCCTGCAGTTCAAAGCGAGCATCAGTATGGGGAAGAAAGGTGATTTGAGTAACTTTGAACGTGGCATGATTGTTGGTACCAGAAGGGCTGGTCTGAGTATTTCAGAAACTGCTGATCTACTGGGATTTTCACGCACCACCATCTCTAGGGTTTACAGAGAATGGTCCGAAAAAGAAAAAACATCCAGTGAGCGGCAGTTCTGTGGGCGGAAATGCCTTGTTGATGCCAGAGGTCAGAGGAGAATGGCCTGACTGGTTCGAGCTGATAGAAGGGCAACAGTGACTCAAATAACCACCCATTACAACCAAGGTGGGCAGAAGAGCATCTCTGAACGCACAGTACGTGGAACTTTGAGGCAGATGGGCTACAGCAGCAGAAGACCACACCGGGTGCCGCTCCTTTCAGCTAAGAACAGGAAACTGAAGCTACAATTTGCACAAGCTCATCGAAATTGGACAATAGAAGATTGGAAAAATGTTGCCTGGTCTGATGAGTCTCGATTTCTGCTGCGACATTCGGATGGTAGGGTCAGAATTTGGCGTCTACAACATGAAAGCATGGATCCATCCTGCCTTGTATCAACGGTTCAGGCTGGTGGTGGTGGTGTCATGGTGTGGGGAATATTTTCTTGGCACTCTTTGGGCCCCTTGGTACCAATTGAGCATTGCTGCAACGCCACAGCCTACCTGAGTATTGTTGCTGACCATGTCCGTCCCTTTATGACCACAATGTACCCAACTTCTGATGGCTACTTTCAGCAGGATAATGCGCCATGTCATAAAGCTGGAATCATCTCAGACTGGTTTCTTGAACATGACAATGAGTTCACTGTACTCAAATGGCCTCCACAGTCACCAGATCTCAATCCAATAGAGCATCTTTGGGATGTGGTGGAACGGAAGATTCGCATCATGAATGTGCAGCCGACAAATCTGCGGCAACTGTGTGATGCCATCGTGTCAATATGGACCAAACTCCCTGAGGAATGCTTCCAGCACCTTGTTGAATCTATGCCACCAAGAATTGAGGCAGTTCTGAAGGCAAAAGGGGGTCCAACCCGTTACTAGCATGGGGTACCCAATAAAGTGGCCGGTGAGTGTATATAAACACACACATATATAGTAAGCCTTGTGGTCAGTCATTGCACCATAATTGCTATGTCTCTAGTCATGTAACTACTAATATGCAGAACTAATCATTTCTTTTCCATTTATTTTATGGTTTCATTTTAGTCATTCAGCAGGCAAGAAAGCATCCAGAAAAGCAAGAGATAAACTGTGCAAAGAAATAGAAGAACTAAAAAGGAAACTCAAACATCAGAAGAAGCTCAAAGAAAAATATAAAAAAAGACTCCAGCGAGCAACTAAGAATAAAGATTCTCCAAGATCCAAAGTTTGTCAGTTGCTGAAAAACTGTACTGTGAACAGCAAGGTGAGGAAAACTTTACTACACCATGAAGCCATAATTTGTGACATCAGGAGGAAGTACAAGAATGCCAAATATGAAAAAGGAAAAAAAAAAAGTTGCAGAGGTGGTTGTTGGGAAGATAGTCAAGAAATACAGGCTGCAGAGTTGGTCTGAGAAAATACTGGGCTTTTCAAGGAAGCGTAGGACCTTGTGTGAAAATAAAGACCTGAGCATTGTTAAATGGATTTCAGAGAGAGATTTTGCTTACAGCATTCAGCCTATACTGTTCATCTAAATAATTTTTAGAGTATTCAATATTACATCCAAAATGTTTCTTTTCTTGTTTGTTTTAATGCATTAAATTAAATTTAAATTTGATTAAATGTTTTGTGATTCTTTCAACCCTGTTACAGTGTGAGCCACCCTGTTACAATGTGTTCAACCCTGTTACTTGATACATTTTCAGACTTTTTGTGAAAATAATAAAAAATTTGAGATAAATGCTAGCTGAACTGTCTGTAAAGTTTAGAGGACAAAAGAGAAAATATATGAAAACTTAATGTGATGTTTACATTAAAGTATATTTTTGTGATTAATGAAGACTGTAGGTATATAAAGAGGCCATATCATACCTGACAGTCACAAATGATTATTTACAATGAAAAAAATCTACTTACAATTAGTTATTTTATATAAGGGACAAGTGATTACTAAGGCACTGGAAGAATTAGTTTGAATATGTTTTGGGATTGTACCCACACAGAAACTCAATTGTCCCGTTACAGGGTTGAATTTAAAACAACATATGTGACAAAAAAATTGAGAATAATCTTTGGGATTGCATGCCTAAGGTGGGAAAACATATTTTCTCAGAGGTTAAAATAGTCCTAAATCAGACACCATGATCAAAAGCAACATTTTTTGTGACATTTTTTTCAGTAATCACAAGATCAAAAGTGCACCGAATTCAGAGAATCACCCATATATATATATATATATGTATATATATATATATATATATATATATATATATATATATATATATATATATATATAGAAGCAGGTACAAAACTGCAGATTAAACATAATGTCTCACATCCTACTGTATGATCTGACTCATGCAAACCCTTAATGCTACTTTTACATCCACTGGAACAAATAGATTAAAATAACATAATATACATTATACACCATTAGCCACTCGGCATGTTAACATTTTCCAAGTTCCTTTTGCTTTCTTCCATTTAACCACATTTAACAAGCTTAATTGCATCATATTGGGATTTTAGACTAAGTAAGTAAAGCAAAAAAATTTTTTTATTTTCTTTTAATACTACAACAAGAATATTGGGGTCTATGTAAACTGGTCTCAGAAAGCTAAGTCTGCACATCACCCTGAAAACACCATTACTGTATTACAAAATTCTGGTAGCATCATGTTGTCTTTGTGTTGTGGTAGTGCTAGGAGTGGTGGGTATCTTTAACATGTATGGGGGTGGAATTTAGAAATGATAGAAGGATGGATAGAGCTTATGAGAAAGAAAGCTCTATGAATTTGATTAACAAATCAGCAATTCAGAATGATATATAAAAAAAATGCATCAACGAGGGAACAATCTGAATAGTTTTACAGCTAAGGGAGAGATGTGTTACCATAAAACTTCAAATACCTCCACACAGCAGCAGCTTAAACCAAGTTTTCAAACATGACCTCAGTCACATCACACCACTTAAGCTTGCACTACTCATGCCAGATCTAAAGGGCCAGTTCAGATGCTTTTCTGTGTCTATAAACACTCTAATGTTAACAGTTGGTGCCCGGTCCCCAGAGAGCACTCACATGATGGATTACAACATAGGAAGTCCATTTCCTAAAATGTTGGCCATTCTCCTCAGGGATGAGTCACTGCCTGAAGTTCATAATTCAATACCTGCATGACATCCTTGATTATGTTGCCTTAAGCATTAGGCCATGCCACTGATAGAATGCATCTGACTGCTTTAATCCACCCAGGAAGGTTTTGTTTGTGTGTCTCACTGGGGAATCTATCCCAACTCTCACTGCTGCTAAATCTAAATTATTTATCTTTTTTTTTTTTTTAGGTTTGTTAAGGAATTATAATCCATATTTCAGACTCCAGCTTGATTTGTATTTTAAATCCAGACTACCTGTTGAAGGGGTGGAGTTTACCAGCAATGGATCAGAAAGATTAAAAGAGAAAGAGTAAAAAAGATTATTGATCTTTTCAAAATATGCTTGTAATGTAGATTAAAAGGTTGTTAATATCAATTTGATTTAATATTGCTACCTTTAAAAAAAGGCAGTTAAAAAATTTAGAGGGGACAAAATTAAAAATAAAAAATCTTTATAGAAATGCAGTATGAGAATCTGACAGCCTGGCTGATTGGTAGAGGAGGAAGCTGTTGAATGGAAGCACAAAAAACAGGAAAAAGTCTTACCTTTGCTTTAGAGTGGCCAACATGTGAGTGTGAGCCCAGAGGAGAATTCAGCTAATTTTCTCTGAGAGCAGTCATTCGTCATTGAGGCAGCTACAGACAACACGGAGAATGCAGTGAAGTGCTTTCCTCCTTTCTGCAGTCAGTCCTCTTGCCTCCTCTGATGGAAAATACAATCAGAGTGGACCACCAACCTGATCGTCTTTGACTCCGCCTCCCACCAAGGCGCTCAAATGCTGTGATAACTGAGGTGTGAGAGGCTGTTTGCATCCTTGCACTATCATAAGCAAATAACCACCAAGGGAGCCATTCTGTTCTTGTTTTGTGTCTTCTTCTAGTTTATTTAAGCATATTTAACAACAGAATTGCCCTACTGTAGTTATAGATGGATCTGGTAATTAAGGTTACCATAATGAGGTGTAATGAGGCCAGTCGGTGCTCCGACTAATGGGGGTTTTTAGGAAATAAAATAGTTTAGGGATCATCTTGATTAAAACTGATCATCTTTTCAATACAGAAGATTTTGTAAATTCGATTGTGACAAAATATAATTTATAATGATAAGCAAAAAAATTATGATTACTGGAAAAGGATAAATAAGCAAATCATGTCATTCAGAGCCTCAGGGGAAAAAAAAGGTCAGGTGGGACCTTAGAGTAATAGTGTGAATCAAAGTCAATTCTAACGCTGCTGATCGTTTTAGTTCAATATTTTTGCACAAATCTGAGTTAATCACAAAGCAGCTGGAATTATTCTCAGATTAATTCACACATTTGTTCAATTGTGTTTGAATGAAAAGTGAAAAATGCTGAAAAAAACACTGCTCAGATTATTGCTCATTAGAGAAGACATTTAAGTCCAAGTTTTAACATTGTAAGATATTTCTGGTAAAGATTAGCATCACTATTGATGTGGGCGTAATGTTTTCACTGTGCTGTAGACTTAGGGAAGCTTTTTATCTTGACCAAATAAAAATGCTCCAATTCAACAACTACAGTAATACTTATAAACCCAGACAAAAGAAAACTGATTAAAAGTCTAGCAAATTATGTCATATTGATTTATATAGTTTATGTAATATTCTAAGTATATAATTTGACAAGATAAGTCAATGCAAAACCTCCTAGTGAGATATGATAGAGCAGCCAATCATCTCATTTTGAAATATTATTGAAAACCTCCTTGTCTGGGACTTTAGCTAATATCTTAGCATCGCAGTGCCCATGAAAGGATAAATTAGCAGAATATAAAACAACTAACAGATTATCTTTGACTTGTAACCACTTTTGCATTCAAACACTTGATGAAGTAGCGTCAGCGTCTGCATGTTTAATTTAAAAAATGAAAACCCCAAAGTAGCATTGAAAAAGCATAATAAATCAGTGAGAATGCAAATGGGAGAAAGATTGGGGATAATAAAAAAACACATTAAGCTCCCGATTAAAAATTACAGAGAGCTCTGTAGCAATATCACTGTGGTTCACCCCATTGTGACACCTCATTAAGGTCCTGGATGAAACGCTATAGCTGTGGTGACAGAGTATCAGTGAGCACCATGTGCATTGGCATCATTTAAGGAGAACTTAAACCTCAGTTATTGATCAATAGTGGTAGTTGGTTGTGTTAACTGCAGTTATCAATTATTTGTTTAAGCCTCAATAACTTTGAATAATAGGTAAATACAGGCCCATATCAATGGAACAACAAACATGTCCTGTAAATGCTGGTTCCAGGTGTATTTCTGAACCTTTTAACAGTTAATCTAAGGAATCTACTGCTTTAAAAAAATTAAGCTGAAGCTTGAAGATATATTCAATTGTAGTCTGACCATCAGAGGAGACTGAAACTTAGTTCTATGAATGCCTCCTAGACAACCATGTATGAAGGAGAAAGAGCATGGAACATAAATCAGAGAACAGCTTACCCAACGGAGTAGGTTTGCAGTATTTTCTTATAGACTTAAATGTAAAATAAATGCAAATCCTTTTATTGTCCTACAATAGGGAAATTCCCTCTCCACATTTAACCCATCCCCTTGGGGAGCAGAGGGCTGCCGTTGTATAGTGCCTGGGGAGCAGTGAGAGGTTAAGGGTTTTACTCAGGAACCCAGAGTGGAGGCTGTGGTGATCAATCCGAGTACTTGCAACCTTCTTAGAGAAAAACCGCAGTGCTCTAAGCACCACCACCGCCAACCCTCCTCACACTTCATAAAACTAGTTAATTTATTTTTTCTTAGCTTTCCAATAAATGAAGTAGTTGAAATTTAGAAAGAAATGGAAAGTTTACCAACCATCCCCTGCTTATTCCATCGGGGTCACAGTGGGGCCTGTCTCTGGCAGTCAATGGGCGAGAGGCGGGGTACTCCCTGGACAAGTAACCAGTATGTCGCAGGGCAACACAGAGTCACGCAACCATGCACACAGAAACTCACACATAAAGCCGGGCATACACTGGACAATTTTTTCAATCGTTGCACGCAGCTGCAGCTTACAGTACACTGTACAACGAAACCGCAGGGTTTAAATGTTTACAGCTCACGATGTATGTTCTGACACTGCAGCCCGATGCTCTGATGGGATCTACCTGCTCACACTGCACGTCTAAAAACCATGTCAGACTCAGCTGTGCAGTGGGGTGGTGCTACACGGACTCGTCTATCCGGGGGCCATGTGAGTAGAAGAGGAATATGAACCTCAATAGAGTGAAATACGCTGCCTTGGCTATTTGTGCAATTTTGTGTGCTGAAAGCCCTAAAAATAAAAGGCGACGACTTATTTGGACAAAGACATGGCTGAGCAAACGTGGTTGCTACAGTCTGTCAATTTACATAAAGAATGATTTACCCATTAACACCTTACAATGGCTGTCTGAATTTCAAACAATTTTGAATTCCTCCCGACCTCACGATTCCTGATCGGGAGGTGGTCGTGAGAGGCTGATCACCCCTCATTACCCCCTGTATACTACACCATGCACTAACATTCTGAAAGTCGGCCCGATCAAAAAATTCTCACATGACTTGAGAATCGGCCCAAAAAGGGCAAAAAATTGTGCAGTATTAGCGCTTACAGGTTACAGTGGTTACAGGTTTTATGCATACAGGTATGCATAAAACAAAAACCTGACTAAATCGGGAAATAAAACAGAGACAGAGAATACTCTTTGTAATGCATATTACTAAGGGTATTCTGGACTGATGTAGTATGCTGGCCTGATGCGGTATGCTGAGCTGACAGAACACCGGCTTAAGGACAATTTAGTGAACCCAATTAACCTAACAGTCATGTTTTTTGGCTGTGGGAGGAAACCAGTACCCAGAGAGAACTCATGTGTGCACAGAGTAGAACATGCAAACTCAATGGTAAATGGTAAATGGCATGTACTTATATAGCGCCTTTATTCAAGTTAGGAGACCTGACCAAAGCGCTTTACACTACATTCATTCACCCATTCACACACACACTCACACACTGATGGTGGCAAGCTACATTGTAGCCACAGCTGGCCTGGGGCTCACTGACTCAATGCAGAAAGACTCCAGGTCAGGAATCGAACCCAGAACCTGCTTGCTACAAAGCAATAGTGCTACAAACTCCCACACCGTGCAGCCCCTCTAAAGCTATTGTTATGCGAAAAGAAATGGCCAAAACCACTCCCTCTATACTAGAAGTTTCCATGTCTGGAAGTTTTCAATCCAAAAGAAGGCTATTTAAAAAAACAGTTTTATTTTCAAAAACATATTTTTTGTTGTTGTTACTTCTCATATTTCATTTTTCTTTCCATGTTATTTTACATAAATTTATTCTAAGCTCATCTGTTTGGATTATTTTCTTTTAATATGGGGGTAACTAGACCTGTAGTCAGTATTAATTTTTCAATTTTACTTATAGTTCGCATTATTGGGTAAGATGAGATTAGCACTTTATGAACACTGAATAGTTTATATAAAAAAAAACATGATTTTGCAAGATGCTTTACACCTCTAATACTGACTCAGGCCTTGAAACAGTGTGACATAAATGTCTGAACATTTTTAAAGCTGAAAGTTGCTTTTGTATGGCCCTGCGTGGGTCTGAGTTTTAAGGAAATCTTTAATTCAAATCTGAAGTGTACACCTCATTACTTACGTAAAAAAAAAAACATAGTGACCCTGGCAGCAGCAACTCTATGATTATGAGTGTAACTGCAGTTTCTTAAAGCTGAGATCCTAAGAGGTTGGAAAAAAAAAAAAAAAAAAAAAAAAGAAAAATCCGAAGTTACCCTGAACCAGGATCAGCACAGACAAAAATAAGCAATTTTATTAAACTAAATTAGGTATAAGGAACATGTCTTACAAACTGTGTGGAGAAACAAAGAATTAACTGGGGATGGAATGGAAGTGAATTTTAAATTGAAGCAAGGCTAAATTAAATGGGCTTTAAATATATAGGGAGGCTGGTCTAAAGAGACTAAGGCAAAAACAATCAGTCGTGTGGGTGGAAAAGCACATAGACAAAGTAAAACAAGACAAACAGAACCCTCTCCTCATTTCACAGTTTGCACATCCTATTTTCATCTCCTTGACTCCTCTCTTCTTGCAATGTTTTTACCTGCAGCAAAGCTGAGATAATGAAATGATACACAGCAAGAGAGGAGGATTTATAATGAGATGCAGCATTCTTATCTCTGAACCATAATTCTAAATCTACATTAAATAAGACATTGGACGCAGCTGCATCGGCTGGGATTGTTTACTCATTCCCTCCCTGTTGGTTTTACAATCTCTGCCAGATGTGCATTTAATGTGTGTAAACATGTGCAATTCTCGTTTATTCATTTGATAACATTCACAAATATTCTGAAACCAATTTTTAGGTCATGATCTGGAAGAAATCTTCCTTAAATGTGACCATTTTCATTGCTGCTTACAAAAGGACATAATATGCAAGATAAGCTATAATATCTTATTCTGTGAAATAGAAATAACAATAAAGACGCTTATTACACCCTAATACGATGTGAGGCACGGTCAATCCATCTAAACAGGGTGATGGGATAAAACATTTCATATCTTTTTACGTATTTATTCTCCGTTTCTGCTGTTTTGTTCTTAATAAAATCTTATGAAAAGGAAACTAGTGCCAAAAGAGGATTAAACATTTTGGACCA